TGATCCAGCGCGTGTGCTCTTCCTACCGAGAACAGAGTGAATCTTCTACGGACGAGGACATGGAACGACTCCGGCAGGTTCGAAGTGATGTTCTCCATCTCGATTGGTCTCCGCTGACTCATCTGATGCTGTAGAAATGGCAAGAGAAGCTGGCACTGTACACTGGAAAACACACACAATCAAATGCAATGGCAGAGATCAATAGCAACGGCATCTCGACGGTGGGGTTTGCAGGATTGTCGAGAGATGGCGACATTGAAGCTCTCGATGACGAGGATGAATTCTCCATCCCGTCCAGCTCTAATTCTTCTTCTCATTCTTCTCTTTCTTCTCCCATTCCGTCTTTTATTGAGTCGGAGGCTTCAACGGAGCAAATAACCGGTCGACCGAGCGCTCAAGTGGTGAGCACTGAACGAAAGTCACTGTATTTTTGATTGTGTGGACTAACAGAGCATCAATGATGGCAGCCCAGCACCGCGACATCGACAGCCTCGTCTATCTTCTCCAAAATGGTGCGGTTTATTGATAAAGTGTGATAGTCTAAGGGACTTACATGTATAATGTCAACCCAGCTAGGAACCAAGCGAAAGCTGCATCAGTTGGATGGATCTGTCTCCGACGATGGAGACACAGTAGAATGGCAAGACGCTGATGTTCAAGAGGTGAGAGCTTTACTAATTGATTCATTGTGTAGGTGGTTGATACTCAGTTCGTTCGGATGCAGCAAAAAAGTCTAGAAACAAGCACACCACCACTTGCAGCTTCAATGACAGAGACTCATATTGAAAACAACGCTGGTAGCGAAACTGAAGATGAAATTCTTCATGACATCGAAGAGGAAAAAGAGGACAAGGCATCGTCAAGCTCTGTAGATTCAGCATCGTTGCTCGTGTCTGCGCAAGATTTTTCTCCCGTGTCGGGGCTTTCCGGGATCAATCTGCCGCTGCAGTTAGCTGCACAGTATTCTAAGTTCATTCATCGAGGCAAGCGCCGGGGTTACTTTGGGCAGCTACACTCGATTGTGTTAACGTGGCCAAGTAGGTTGGCAGCTAAAGACTCTATTCTTCCAGGTGACATGGTCTGGTGTTGCCCCGATTCAGAGCGAGGATTCCTTGATGAGGGAGAAGTCGTCAAGGTGGTTTCCCTGGGAGACACGCTAGATGAGCTCAAGATTGAACGCAGCAACGGGGCGGAGACTACGGTTCAATTGCATCGAGTGCGTCGTCTAAAGGAGTACCTTATTCGCAAGGGCAGCGTGCGATTCCGTAGCGAACAGTAGATACTTCAAAATCCGCGTAACGTTATTATCAGAACGCTATGACAGCAACCGACCAAGTATTTTTGACCGTTACCAGTAGTTGAAAAGACACATCAACTCAGTCGAGGACGACATGAACGGTGAAGACGAGGAACACCTGAGGGATCATTGAGACGATCGTCACTCCAGTGCACAATTGACCAAGTGAGCTTGCCATGGGTGTTCAAGATCATGACGTTGGATGCTTTGGGTTTTCGGGTAGCTCCAGCCACTTGATGCACCAAGGACTGCTCCAGTATCAAGCCAAAGACGGCAATTGGAAAGAGCGATGGTTTATCCTGGATGCAGTCAAGTCGGCACTGGTCAAGTGTAACTCAACTAACCATCTGCCAGCGGAATCGTACGGTAGTGTACTCGGTGGAGACGTACTGATCGCAGAGGCAAAGCCACTTTCGGAGACGAACAGCGACAGTGGAGGTGAGAGCACTCCTTTCGGCTTTGAAGTTGCCACTCCAGCTGGTGCGAAGATTATCTTCCGTACCAAGTCGCTGAAAGAGCAGAACTCGTGGCTGACAGTTTTAAACAAAATCGCAAGTGGGTTCGCATTGGGTGTAGCTGACCGACTGGCAGACCGTGAGTTGCTCGCTGGAAAATACTCGTTGGTTCGTGAGCTAGGTCGAGGAGCCTCGGGTATCGTATCCCTCTACACGTGGCAAGGCAAGCCGTTCGCCATCAAGAAATTCGTTCCTCAGAAGAGCAAAGGGGTTCCAAATCGTCGAGCTGCACCCGTAGCTACGGGAACACGTCCATCCACTCAGGCAAGTCAGCCAAATGCGATTCCTGACGATGTTCGTCGAGAAGTAGCGCTGTTAAAGAAGGCCAGCAATCTCCCGTTTATTATTCGCCTGCATGATGTTATCCTGGACATGGAGAATAAGGAATACTATCTGGTGATGGAGTATATGGGCGGTGGTGCTATTGCCGAGTGGGACGGCTCTCGTAAATGTTACGTCAGCTCAAGAGCCAAAAGCGCTGCTAGCGGGACTGCGTGTCTGCTGGGTGAAGGCACAGTACGCACGTACGTGACGAACCTTGTGCTAGCAATTCAAGGTCTCCACTTGAACAACCTCGCCCATCGTGATATCAAACCTGAGAATCTGATGGCGAACGAGGAGCACACACTCTGCAAACTTGGAGATCTAGGTGTTGCTCATTACTTTAAAGAGGAGAACGGTGAACTCCATGAAGAAGATGTCGATGCAATCGAGCTGTGGGATATCAATCAAGGCTCAACGAGTACAGCTGGAAGTAAGAAGCACCTTCGAGGTATGATCAAGTCGACAAAAGGCACGTACCAGTTCTTGCCTCCCGAATCGCTTAATGGAGATGCCTACTGCGCGTTCAAAGCAGATATTTGGGCCATTGGTGTGACGATGTATGCACTACTGTTCGGATCACTCCCGTACTACTCAAGCGATGTGAGTGAACTGTTCGACAAGATTGAGAACGATCCTCTGGAGTTCCCCACTTCCTGTGAAGACAACGATGCAAAGGACTTACTAAAATGGATTCTGACGAAAGATCCTGAGAAGCGCATCACTCTGGAAGGCATCTTGCAACACCGCTGGACACACCGCAATATCGATTCCAAGAGTCTACGCAAACAGGTGAACGCTCTGAAGCAAGCCCCCATACTCTCAATTGAAGATCACGAGTTGGGAGGCGCCGTGTCTGTACACCAGACTCGATTCCTGAAGATGGCAGCAGCAATTCGTCATGATACTTTGAACGATCTGGTTACAGACGCGGATACGTCTCCTCAAGACGGGGACTACAAGCCCAATCCGATCGATACGAAGGACACGGAGCTCCCTCAATGGTTTCAACCACATCGGGAGCTTGTTGCAGCGCAGATGCACTACGATTGGTGTCGTGGTAAGTCGTTGGCTGGCTGGAAGCACGGCGACGTCCGAGATGACGCACACTTGGTACATCCGTTGATGCTGCCGATGCGAGCACTAGACGACACTGCACGAGCTCGGAACTTTGCCTCCGTCGACGAGGTCATTAAGTGCGTGGTTGCGCTTGGCGTTCAGGTTAGTTACCACCGCCCATCGGCCGAGTAGTTATCGGTGCTGACAGCGCGTGCAAACGTAGGTGCCACGGCGCGCGAGGCCTTCTTGCTCAGAACCTGTAGACTCATGCTCATGTGTGGGGCCTGGAGGAATTTATGGGACTGAAGGTGAGTGCTCGACGCGGCGTGCGTGGATCGCTCACACTTGCGAGAAAGCATGTCACTTAACAAAGGACTGACTATGTTTTCAGCTGGCATAAAGACCTGTAGAAATGAATATACTGTACGATTGAAACTGTATGCTGCACAAGCTCAAGTTGGGATATTCCGGTGGTTCTGGCGTATGCCGCCATCTTTGTTTTGGTCATGCATGT